CCAATGCATTTCAACTGACATTCAAACTCGTCCACAACTACAGCCGTCCTCATGACGTGACCAACTAAAGCGTGGTCTGAAAACAACAGAAAAATGAAAGTTTCATTGATGTAAAATATCCTGCGAAGAGATCTGAACAAAACTTCCAATGTCCACTCTAGTTGCTATGAGTTTACTTACCGAGTTGAGTTTCAAAAACACTACCACAGAAGTCCTTGTTAGCCACAACAAATATCACAACGAGGAAAATGTTGAGAGCAACAATCACCAACTGTGTTGGGCAGAAAGTGGCCATTATTGCAGGTCTGTTGTATCTTCTTGGTTTAAGGAGTGATGCTTTTCTCCCGCGCTTCTTTGCCTCTGGATACGTGACTATGGAGCTCTGTCAATCTTATAGCTAACAGGCTGTCAGTAATTCTTCACAGTGACTGACGTAAGGTTCTATTTACCATGTAATATTACATACGCAATTAGACAGATCTGGCCGGGTATAAGGTGACGGATATTTCTTATAAGAAGCTATACAATTTTCAGAGGAAATATTGAAAAGAAAAACAAAACAAAGCAAAACAAAACAAAATAGCAAAGCCAGCACAACATAGAATTTAACTCAGTTGCTTTAATACAATATTTCGGCTGGCCACTGCTAGACTCCTGTCATATAGGAAAATAACACAATGTGTCATATACGCACTTGTTTTTTAAGGGCAGCGATTGCGAAATACAGTGTAACATATGCGTAGGATAAGTTGACAGGCCATTAGGGACACTCAAGGCAAAAGGCTCAATTATTTTAGCTTGGTTAATTTGAGTGGTTTTCCTGGTTTAACGATGGAGTCGCTAAAGAAAACTATATTTTTCCAGTAGGAATGAGATGCATGTTCCTGACTATTTTTTCTTATAAAACAAAAAGACATGAATACTTTGGGAGAATATACATTTCAGAGTTACTGAGCAAAGCGAAAAGACAAACATTATCTATTATTAAATCACTCATAGCTCACGTCCGTTTTGACATTCTGTAATAGCTTGATATATCATTCGAATTTATTTCTTGCTATTATAAAATTAACGTTAATACAACTGATTTTTTCATAAAATCGTTTGAAAAAAAAACTGCTTTTCTTTATCCTTTCTTTTTTCAATTAGGATTAACTTAGTTTTGATCAGATTGTGAATCTTAATTTATTTAAAACCATTAACACATTGAAGTAAATTTATTTATTTGGATTTTGTTAACCACATTTTGTCGATCGTTGCTAAACTCAAAAACGCTTTCTATAAGTGAATGACATTGAGACGAAACAACTTCGCTGTTTTTGTTTTTTTTGTTATCCATCTGTATCTGTATATCTGCATGGCAGAAAAAAAAAAAGAGAACGATTTTAGGCTAAACCATGTACTCATAATTTATAACCCTGTTTTGGAAAGATATCAACCAGTTTGGGTATATTGGATTACTCATGGGAATAGTTAATACATCCAGGCTTAATTTTAATGCAGATACTATTATTCGCAGGAAAGACTTGCTTCAATAACTCCTCTTTAAAATCAATAAAACACAAGAGAGTTTGTTTAGTTTGAGTATTTTATATTTTTGCAAGAAAAAACAAAACAAAAAAAAAAACCTTAAACAAACTGAATTAACAACTACTTGACTCGTCCGCGACAGTTAAATATGGCGATGGAGGCAATCACATGAAATGAGTGCAACATTAGCTTTTAATTTCTACCCAAGGCATATGCTGCATATTGTCTGATTGATTTCAGGTGGAATTTTGCCGTTCTTTCGTGAACCGCACTAAGCACTACTATTTAAGTGATTGTATTTGGACATTGTTACCAAAGAGGTTCACATCTTTTAATTACATATGCATATACATTTGTACGTTATCAAACCTTCCCACTGGGGCTTTTCAATTAAAATTTCAAAAATTGTAATAAAAATGATGACAATAAAAACTATCAATCTACATTAAAATAGTAAAAATATGTACAATTAACTCTGATAAAAACTAAAATATCATCATATATTTATATATAAAAAATACAACGAATAAGATAAAATTAAAATTAAAGTTTATCTCGTCAACGGTGTCGTCATATGTAATCATTAAAGCTCACAAGAAAGCTGCACCTGCTTTGACAAAGCTATATATGAAATTCTTTATTTTTAACTCAGCTCTCTTTATGCTACCAGCTCCCTGTCAGTCAGAGGCTTCTGTCAAGAAATACCGTTTAAATCCACAGTAAAATTAGACAATTTAAAAACGCGCCTGTATAC